AATCCCACACTCTAACCACACAGCCACCGCCGTCGGTTTTAGTCTTAATTATAATTCAGTTGCTTCTAGAACACACTTTAGAGTGTGAATTTCTGGAATCCAATGTTTGTTGATACTCTGGCAAAAGTGCGTGCCCACACCGTTATCAATTTTTAGGTAGTTCACACGGTAATTCAATTAATCTGTTGTTCATCTCCTCAATATAATTCCGTGCTTAGAATATTGTCATCTCGTGTTTTCTGCACCAAATTAAAAATTGAAACTCAATTTGGAATATTGAGTCACAGCTTCTTTTTTTCATATCAGAAATTTTGTATTTGGATATTAATGTTATTTGTTCAAAGTGAAAAAACGATCATCATTTTCACTATATTGCATTCAGATTCTCCTATCCTTAACGTCAAAAATGGGAGATAATATCATAATTCTAGCTATTAATTCTAATCAACTTTGTTCGAAAAAAACCTTAGTAAACGTAATATTAACACTCCGTTGGTCGCGCCGTAAACGCCGCGCCAGCATAAATCGACATAATGATAAATTTGAAAGATCTAGGAAAAATCTGAAAAAATCAAGAGTGATTTGGGTCGTATACTGGAAGAGGTCCCGTGAGATTTTTTATGCTCACTGTTACCCTTAATTATATATTCAAGCTCAAAGTTGCCATGTTTTTCTGGAAATTCGCCTTATACACGGTACACGGCCCGGAGTTTCGAAATAAAAATTTGAAAATTCAACTACGTATGATATTTTTGGCGGCTGTTTTCATTGATAGGGCTTCTAGACACTTCAAAATCATATGTCAAATTTTTTCAAATTTTTCTGAGGCTTCACTGCGGTGCGACCAACGGAGTGTTAAGAAAGTAGAATTATTCTATTTTCCTCTGGTTTAAATGATTTAGACAACTATGATTCTTTTATTCATGTTTCATAGAATGGTACTCAATTTTTTTTTGTTTGCTAGGCGGGCTTCATGAAAATTCGACGCAAGACGATTGTACTTATGAGAACCGCCTTACTGTCTCCATTCGCTCAAGATATCCGCAATGTTCGAGTTCTCATTTTCGTTTCGAGATATTGTCCATGATTTTTTTTAGAAAGAAAAGATTTGCATTTTCTGATTTTTCCATGCGAATTAATGACGTAATGCACGTTGTAAGGAGGAAGAGGGGTGACGATTGATAAGAACTAGCTCACTGCGCGTTCTAGTTATCGGGAGTTTTTGGAATAATGAATGGTGGAGCTGGCCTTGAGCTTAGTTGAACTTGAGGCGCTTACGCAATTTGATTTTTAATGCTGGGTTCTGATACATTTTGAAAGTATGTTTATTGTGGGAGATAAGATTGTCTTATCGAGGGATTGGAATAGATTGGATGTATTTGGTAGTGAGTGATTTTTCAGTTGATCTCGGATTATTTTGAGAGAATTACTTGGAAATAGGGGATTTAGAGGAAAACTTAGAGAAAATTTTTTGCAAGTCGTGAAAGTATTTTGAAAAATGTGTAAAGCATGAATGGCAATTTTGTATTGACACATTCCGTAAACAATTTAATTAACACATTCGCTAGAAAATTGTCTTGGAATTCTATTGATAGTCGACAATTCTATTAAGAATGAAGATAATTCTTACGCATGTATTTTTCACCTATTTTTCCTTGGATGTTGTAATGAGAGTAAAAACGAAATACAGAGGGAAAATGAGAACAATTTATACCCAGGCATGCCCATATAGTGAGAAAAACAATACATTTGCCAAGGAATCATTTCCTTGGGGGAGAATTTATTTTTGGGAGTGTCTATTCACACGCTCCACGGTAACTTTGACCGTGGATATACGGGACGTTATCCCATGGATTCAAGGTAATTTCTACCGTGGATATATGGGAGATAGTAGACCCTCAACGTGTACTTCTCAAATTAAATCTAGACAATAAACTAGACACATCGAATCAATTGATAAGGAGATAGTAGACCAGTAAATAATTTTCTGGAATACGAATATCAGTATAGATTAACGCAAATAAAAAATAAAATAAATAATTGACTAAACGCAAATAAAAGATGAAATGAATAGTTTTTTACATTTTATGTGAACGTTTTCTTAATGATATTCATATTTGTCTAATGGGGTCCGAGTGCAGGAGTGGGTGCCGAAATATAGTGCAAATGATTTTAAGGGTGATCTCCCAACCAGGGGAAACTCCTAACAGAGTTGGCTTCAGAGGCTCTGGTTTCAGAGTTGAAAAACAGAGTTGCCCCAACATTGTCAAGTCGACTGTAGGAGTCTCCCCTGCTCGACCCGCTCTGTCATTTGAGCCCAAAAAAACATTAATATCTTGTCTGACATCGCTGTTACAAACTTCTCTATTGATTATATGAGTTTACAACAGCGATGTGAGACAAGATATGAATGTTTTTTTGGCTCAAATGAAAGAGCGGGTCAAGAAATGGCGTGCTGATGCCTCTAAAGATGGTTTTGAACCAGGGGAAACTCCTAGACCCCACTGGACAATGTTGTCACAACTCTGCTTTTCAATTGAAAACAGACATCATTGTTAGAGGCATTTGTCGTGTTTAGAGACATCAGCACGCCATTTCTCGACCCACTCTGTCATTTGAGCCCAAAAAAACATTAATAAATTGTCTGACATCTCTGCTACAAACTCCTCTATTGATTATATGAGTTTACAACAGCGATGTGAGACAAGATATGAATGTTTTTTTGGGCTCAAATGAAAGAGCGGGTCAAGAAATGGCGTGCTGATGCCTCTAAAGATGGTTTTGAACCAGGGGAAACTCCTAGACCCCACTGGACAATGTTGTCACAACTCTGCTTTTCAATTGAAAACAGACATCATTGTTAGAGGCATTTGTCGTGTTTAGAGACATCAGCACGCCATTTCTCGACCCACTCTTTCATTTGAGCCCAAAAAAACATTAATATCTGGTCTGACATCGCTGTTACAAACTCTGGTTTTCAACTCTGGTTTTCAATTAAAAACCAGAAGAGTCTAGAGGAATCATAAATTTTCCCTGGGAATTGAATGCAAATAATTTCAGGATGCTGCTTCCTTTCGTGTTTACAAAATCTTCAAAAAACTGAAGTGCTCATGGGTTACTCATTGATCGAATATGACATGTCTGTAAATTCCATGAATTTCTAAGAAAAATCATAATTATTCAGTATTCTTCCAATTCCGTTCCCTCCAAACATATCCATGGATGCAGAAAACGCGCTGAAAGACCGGAACAACTGATTAAAATCGATTTTTCCCACACTTGACACCGATAAACTTCCAATGTACACGTATAGCGTGAACACTCCATTCGGTTGTAGAGTGGCCGTGACCTTGTTAGAGTGACGGTATCTCCAAGACCTCCAGTGGTGTCCATAAATTACCACGCGCAAACTATCATCACCGGATAATCTAATGGTGGAATTGATCTTGTTAAAATTGAGAGTTCAACGTTCGCAAGAAATAATCGCTCTCCACGTGGTTCACGCTCCGCTACTCATCATGGTTGAGACACTTTTTGCTCATTGATTGCATGAAAATATTTTCTATTTTTTTTAGTTACATTGGAGTTCTGTTGCCGCGGAATATTAAATTCAATTTATAAACCATTTATCAGCAATGTCAGAATATCACCCGTAGTTATTGATTATAATGAATTTCATGAGTCTGTAACCGTTAATTCAAGTGGTATTTCCCGGGTTCATTTCATTTCATTTTATTTCATAAAGACCCAACAGCACATGGCCAATTACAGGTTCAACCTACAGTCTACATACAATATAAAAATGAAATCATCAATCGATAAAATTTGACAAAGCTGTCACGATGGACAGCATCACTAAGATAAAACAATCCAGAAAGTTATACGATCAAGTATCCGATCCA